ACAATGACATGTCCAGCAGGCCCCGAACCCCTGGGACTCTCTTTGTTTCCCAAACGGCCCCCTACGGACACTCCAATATGTGAGCTTTACAGTGGGGACTTTGCAGGGCAGCCGTGCAGAAAATGAAAGAAAAACAGGAGTTGTTTACAGTCTGCGCCGTTCAAGGCTGACGCAGAGGTTTTCCCGGGTCACCCAAAAAGCAGCGGCTTCAGATTCTGCACTCCAGGAATCCGCTCCAGGGCAAAGAATCTCGAGTATATTGCGTTTCCCCCCCCCCGAGTCTTGAGTGTAGGCCGACCGCGGTGCAGGGAGCCCGTGATCGGACCGGGAGCAGAGATCCGTCCAAAGCTCTGTTGCTCGGAGGCGTATCCATGGCGCCGAAAGCCCGCGCTGGACATTCCTGACAGGTTACCACGGCAGCGAGCGGAGATGGCAGGGGCTGCTTTATGGAAAGGGCCTAATCGCTTACAGGCCAGGAAGGGGGGGGGGGCACTAACTGCACAGTCAGTTTCCAGTACGCTACTTTTTCCCCTTGTTTGTGTGTTTCCTTGCACTCCTTCCCCTGGCCCCTACTGTAAAAGGTGAGCCCCCCTGTCCCTCTCCCTGCCGTCACCAGAGAGCCTCGACGGGTCTAAGCAGCATCCGTCTGCCTGGTGCAGCAGCTACCCCTGCTGGCCGGATTTCTGCATTGCACACGCGGCTTTTCTTGCACGTTTGTGAGCACAGGGGAGCCCACCAGCTTGTCCGCATTCAGGTTGTTATTTCTTTGGCGTGAATGCAGACTATGCCATTTATGAGCACTGGGGGGCTCTCTTTCTATCCTTCGATCAAGCCACGACCCCCCCTCAGCCTTGACGGCTGTCAGCGCACAGGTGTGACAGGGTCCCTCAGAGGGGTGCAGTGAAGGTGCAGGTCTCCAAAGAAACATTAATATCTGTGACTGTCTAGCATTAGACAGCATCTCATGATCCGGAGACACTTATTCCATTCGCTGGCCACTGGGAGGCGCCATAATGCACCCTGGCCATCTGGCATGGCCTGCGGTGACCCCCCCGTGAGAGCGTCTCGGTGCACAGCAGCTGTGCCGGGGGAGGGTGAGCGAGTGCACCGGGACAGGGCCGGCTATTTATCAGGCAAACAGGGCGGCCACACAGCACTCAGCCTGGTGCGTGGGGGGGGGCGGCTGGCTGGGGCCTCGTCGGCCTCCCCTCCCCCGCAACCCTTTCCTGGAGGCAAAGCAAGCAGTGGGCAGTGGCCAACACCCCCCCTTAGCCTACACACAGTGCTGCTCTTTCTCCTTTCACTTCCTCCCCCTCCCCTGCTTTGAAGGCCCCCAGTAACACTCCTTTCCATCCCCTCCCCTCTCCCCAGGTCTCCTCGAACAAATCACATCCACAAATGCATTTATATACAGTAAGTGTGTGTTTGTTCGTATATATAGGGGCTGCGGTCCATGGAAACACACCAGCCGCCCCCCCCCCCACGCGTCCTCCTGGCCCCCGGCTCCCCTTTCCTTGCCTTTTATTCCCGTTGTAAAGAGCCGGTTCTCAGCCACGCTCTCCTGGCAAAGCAGGCCTCGGGCTCAGCCTGCCAAGCCCGTGAAAAACAGCTGCAGACTGAGATAAAAATAATTAGACCTCTATCTGTCTTACAAAGGGGACGTTTCGGCTTGCATGGCGAGGAACGGCTCACGGAGGGACGGCCGGACCCATCGGCACAAAAGCCCTTATTCACCCAGTGCCAGACACACACACACACACACACACACACTCTGTCCCTGTCTGTGAGGATTCCCTGGTGGAGATATCAGGCCTGGAGTCTCTCTGGTTTTCCTGATGCATCTCTGTCTTCGAAACTCCACCGGTGAAGTCCTTCGTATCCATAAACCCCCCCCCCCTCTCCCCACCCTGCCTGGCGGGTCAGAGGAATTAGACGTATCTAACATCAGAGCCGTAGATGTGGTGAGACGAGTCGAATCTGAGGCCATGACTGGGACCCATTTAGGGGGAGGCCAGAACAAGTCCAATAATTGAGGGAGGGGGCAGAATTCAGGTCCAAGGGATGATTTAACATGGCGGAGTAGAGTGCCTGTTCGCACCTAGAGAAAATCCCATGAGTTCCTGCCTTTCTATTTCTGACTTTTGCAGATGGTATTAGGCTAATCTTTAAAACGAACTTCCCCGAAAAGGGCCCCCCCCAGTTAATTAACACAGAAGCACACTGACCCATAGTCCTCACTGACTCACACTCCCAGCATCCGGAGGTCGCCCAAAAACATGCTGTACACAGCCATGTGTGGGCTGCATGCCCTGTGTCCCATCATGTGACAGGCATGCAGTCCACACACAGCTGTCTATAGAGCGCATGTGACTCTGCAGCCACAATCCTTTAACGGAGCAGGATCCTGGGAGCACTGAGCCTGGGGCTCCAGCAGCCAGCGGTGAGATCATTTCTGCTGTGGTTTGAAATGCAGCCCTACGTGATTTTGACAAAAAAAAAATGCACAAAAACGAGAAAAAAAGTGAAAGAAAAGCTGTAAATGGCAAAAACAAGTGATTAAACCTGTGTCCTCCACCAGCACCTTCCCGGGGTCTCCAGTTCTCCGAGAGCAGGGAGTGGGGGGGTCGTGTGGGCGGCTGAGAAAAAACATCAAAGTCACTTCCAGGAATTCTTCTTCCTGCCCCCCAATTCTTAGTGGGGTTTTTTTTTGAGGGAAGCCTTTGACTGGCCCCCCCGCTCCTGTATGGACCCCCCTCCCTGCAAAATAGAGGGGCGTCAGCTGCTAGAGGAGGAGACCGGATGCCCCCCCCCCCCCATGCCGTGCAAACAAGCACATGAGGCCCAGAATTCCCTGCCAAAGATGACCAGAGCGGCTCACTCCTATAATCAGCGTGTGGGCGATTATGTCAGCAGTTTCACTTAACGGTCTGGGTTCAATAAACAGTCTTGAAGCGCTGTAACAGATACGGGCGGGGATTACCCCGGGGACGCCTCTGGGAGCGTGTATCTGTCAGGAATACATAAAGACCACATTCTCTTCACGCTCCAGAGTCGATACGGCCCTTAGTGGCCTTACAGGGAGGCCTATTCAAACAGGAGGCAGGCCTCCACCCACTGGGCCCAAGGCTTGAGACCGGTTCGTCCACACCCATGCAGCACCACAGCCCTGGGTGTGGAAAGTTCCGGAGAAACGGCACTCATCCAGCGAGGACACTCAGCATCACCTGAGTTACTGCTCAGCCTTGGATTGACGGCCGCCGGCAGGACATGCTCTTAATGCAACCGCTGATGTCTTCATACCGAATAAACTATATTGTAGTTCATATGGGCAGCCCTGTTGCCTCACATGTCCAGCATCAGGGGTTCGAACTGCACGCCCTCTACTACCCCTATGTTACCTCCCGCAGTTCAAAGACAGTGTTAAATAAAACAGGCTTCTCTAAACCACCCAAAATGTGTTATAATAATGTTGATGTCCTGCTGTAGACCAACATCTGCCCCAAGTTTCCCCTGGGGCAGCCCCAGGACCCTGCACTGGATAAAATATTAGAAGATAATGTCTATCTACAGCCAGGTCTGATTAACTTTAACTTCTCAATACATTCTCTGTGCGAGTTTAAACATTTTCGTCTCTGTCCCATATCCCCAAAAAGTATTAAGTTAAGCTATTTTAAAAATATATATCCCCTGAACACCTGACAGATTTTGACTGATGAATTTTGTATTACACTGGTGACTGAGGAGTGCAACCCAAGAGCTCAGAACCCAGGCATGTGTGACATATTCAAGGACGTTACACAGGACTGGAGCCATACTGCCATCTGGTGGTCATATTATACCCTCCTCATTCCCCCAACACGCAACTTTCCAATCACTTTGAAATTTTAATTTAATTGTGCAGTGAACCATGCAGGTCACTTCAGCAAGCACAGTCCATTCATTAGGAGACAATCAGAGAAAAAGCACGCTAAGATTTTAATATTCTCCTCATGCCTTTAACAGTCAAAAAAATATATATTCAGTTTCAAGCTATGTTAGGTTTAAAACCTACTCTGGCCACAAATCACACAGATGAAGAAATGGAATATTTCATAACTGAGTAAGAAATGCAGGTCAAGGTAGACAAACGGTTTTGACTTCGAATACTAATTTTGTACCGTCCTCTACTAAAAACTTGAGCATCCCACTTCGCAACATGAGTCAGGATCTCCGACACGGCCAAGGACAGCGCTTCACAGATCGAGTCACGTACCACAGCTCCAAGCTGACAGGACACAAAGTCAGAGGCAGCGAGCTTTGATTGAAGGCGTGACAACAGTAAAGCGACTGCCTCGCAAGTAAACATGTGACTGAGCACAGCTCCTTTAAGGTTAACTAAAGAGGTTAACTGTGCAAAGTGAACTCTGATGGATCAGGGGCTCAGAATATACAGGAAATAAATAACAGCAGCTCTATGTCTCAGGACACCAGCATGCAGAACATTCTCCAGCAGAAAGGTTACATGTGTCTTTAAACAGCTAAAAAGTAGCGACGGGCAAATGCATTATCTGCTGTACATTCTAACCCCACTAGATGGTGCTCTCTGATCATAAAAGGGCTCAAAGCATGCCCCACAGTAAACCAAGAGCACCATCTAGTGGGTTCAAAAAAAATACAGCTAATGGTTCATGAAGCTTCATTTGCCCATCACTACGTAAAAGCTCAACTGTAGAAAACTTGCTTTTTGCAAAACCATTCAGAACAGAATTTAATCTGAGACAATGATTATAACCTAAGAGGAAGATTCATAACTGACTACTAAAGAAAACACACACACACACATTGTTCACATAAATACTGTATATATATGTGAACAAACACATTTCCTGTATATAAATGCATTTGTGGATGTGATTTGTTCGAGGAGACCTGGGGCGAGGAGAGGGGAGGGGATGGAAAGGAGTGTTACTGGGAGCCTTCAAAGCAGGGGAGGGTTAGGAAATGAAAGGAGAAAGACCCTCACCAGTTTTACCGAAATTTTACTGTAATGATTGTGGGACAATTAAAACTGAGTGAATTCAGGAGTAAATTTAAGCACTTCCAGTTGGGAAATAGGTGCTACCATTTGCAGGAGAATAACTTTCATGGATTAAGGTCCAGGGAAAAACAACAGTCTCATGTTTCACAAAAAAACTACGTAATTTCAGTGTTCATATCGAGACAATAAAAGAGGAACAGACACATATACACTTAAAGTATTGTACAGAGAAGATATTTCTCTTAGAAGCCAAAATTCTGCTTAAAATGACAGAAGGTAACATTGAACAAGCGCTGTTCCATTTGCATATAGTGTATCAGCTATACCTCCTTATACTGCATGAAAACCACAGTGGGGGTGAATAAGGTTTTAGATTAGATTTATTCTGTAAGGTGTCACATTTTCTGCGCTCTCCATTTGCTTGAAATGGCTTTAAAATTCAAGTCCACAGCACCTTAAAATTGGACCTTTAAGAAAAAAAAAACAGACTGACACATGAGACAGATGCTGGTGACAGAAGGTGGGATAGTTAGCTACCCAAACAGAAACAACCGGACGAGTGAAGGGGGTCCAGAAGAACAATAAATAAAAATGGAGCCGATCACGGCTGGAAAAATCCTCCGCTGGGATTCAACTGTTGCCGTCTGTTGGGTGGGGGGTTGAGGGCAGGGCCAGCAGGGGGCGGGGCCAGCAGGGGGCGGGGCCAGCACACACACTTACTCGACGTCATCTTCAGTCAGGCTCTGTGCACTGACGATTCGCTGTGGAAAGGAAGGAAGTCAGAACAAGCCATGCAGACAGGCCCCTAGATTAAACAGCCCCCCAATCACAGAAAGATGTACATTTTATCCCAGAAAATACGTTACTAAGAACCACAGAGGTACGGCCCTTAATTGCGAAATTTCTAGGTTTGCTTTTGCATTCTTGCTTGTCCCAGCAGCTACAGCAGACTGCAGGGGGGTTTTGAAGAATGCCCTTCTGAGGATCTCAGACTTTAGGACAACCTCCCTGACCATGTCCAAACCTGGCAGCCCAATGCCCAACCTGGACCCAACCTCAGAGCGTAATGTCAACCTCCAAACACCTGCCCTATGCTGGCGCCCCACCTGGCTAATGGTGGGCAGCTTGGTGAGCAGCATCTGGAACACTGGCGGCGGCAGGGTCTGTTGCAGGACCTGGAGCAACTGCTGGGGCTGGCCACACACTGCGATGGCATTGGTCAAGTGATCCACCCCCTTCTCATAGTCACCTGGGGATTGGTCCAGAGGCCATTAGTGAAACGGACACATTTCTCATTTAAAGACAGCACATACACTCCCATTACCCTGCGTATACAGATACTCCAAGATCCAAGATGGTTCGGCTTACAATGTTTCCACTTTACGATGGTGCAGTTGCAGTGCAATGGTCATTGTTGAATTTTGATCTGTTGCTGGACTAGAGATATGCCACACAATACATTCAAGTGTTTAACAAAGTACTGCACATTATTTTTATGTTTAAGCAGATGAACTTGTGTTCATTTTAATTTTCAATTACTGGTATTTACTTATAGTCAGATTTACAGTATTTGTTTATTTGATGAGAGTAGTTATTTACTGATCAATCGTATATTCATATTCGACAATATTTAGCACTTATGAAGAGTTCATCAGAATGTAACACCATCATAAGTCAAGGAACACCTGTATTCCTACTTGCAAGTGGGTCTAGCAAGACTTAGTTACCTAGTTCATAACACAGTAAAAACCATCATGCGCAAAACACTCTGCACCCAGTCTTTAGCGCTAGTGAGAAGCAGGAACAGCCATTGGTCACCGGGGCACACGCCTCTCACCCTGAGCTAGCAGCTCCTCTCCCAGCTGAATCTCCTCCAGGAAAAACTTCTGCACAGCCTCGGCGTCCTTCAGGTCGGGCAGCTGGAGCACAGCAGACGGCAGACACCATTCAGCCATCTCTCAGGCACGCGATACAGCATGGAAAACACCCCCAAAGCCCTGAGCCCAGGGGGGCTTTAACTATCATTTACAATTACTGCAACCTCGGATGTAAACATGCACGTGGTCAGGGTGAAGCACTGTGAAATTAAAACTTCAGCATATTAACAGGCAACGTGATTGATAACTTACCCTTGACAATCCAGCCTTTTCCCTTGCAGCCCTCTGCTTCCTCCGTCCTGTTAAGTGAAGATATCGTACATTACAATCCCATACAGTCTGTGAATAAGGACACACACAGGCCTGGTGTGCGGCTCAGAGTGTTAGGGATGCTTGTGTCTTAGCATTTTAATGGGGTACCTTCCCTAATACCCAAGTGATGTCAAAGAAATAACTTAAATATTGCAAAAAAAAAAAAAAAATTTAAAAATACAACACTGATCTTAATGCACACTAATATAGAGCCCAAAACAAGTGAAACTGGTAGCGGGATTCTGTCATTAAAAAATGCCGTTACATGATAAAGGTCAGGGTGATATGCATTTCAAGGTCAAGGCACCACACTTTTCTGACCCATAAAATTGAAAATCGTGAAACCCAGCATCAAACAGACTTTAATAATTTAATGAACGAAATTTATGAATGATCGAACAAACAGCAGCTAAACAGACTTCATCTGTAGCACGCCTGTAAGGCTCACTTTAATCTCCAGGCATAGCCTAGTGCCGCTACAGTGACAACACTTTTAGGAAGGGTTTTTACAGTTTAATAGACTGTCCAGCTTGCAGAAGTAGCCTATGCACGTAGACAGCCGGAGCAAAACAGCACCTCGCGAACAGGCTAGAGCATGGCTTAGCCCTAGTTCGTCTAATCTCCTCTAGCCAATACACAGTGCATGGCGCAATCGATCACTAATTTTTCATGCTATGAAATATTCAGGAGATCCACACGCAGGGAATTTCGGGAAATTTTCCATTCTGGAGCTCAGTTAGCGGATGGTGCAGAGGCCGACACTCACGCTCTCGCAGCCTGTTCTTGAAGTTGGGGTCACTCCGTCTTTTTCTATCGAAGTAAATGCAGTAGCCGACGAAGAGGGCCCCGCAAACCCCGGCGGCGATCGCGCTCGTCTTACTGCCCATCATAGCTCCGCAAACCACACGGCGCCTTCTTCTGCGCTGACGATTCAAAAATGAAAATTTATAATGTAATCAGCATGAACTCATGACACCAACTCTACGAAACCTACCACGCGCGTAGAAATACCTAATATCCGGTAACGCTGCCGGAATTGTGCGCGTTTCCGTTTCCGTCGCGCAGAGGGCACGTAAATCCTTGTATTCTTTTTTTTTCATGTGGGCGTGTTCAAGGGCGGGAGATTTTAAATGCCGCTTGAACTTTTTTTCTAACTTGCTTATCGGGCTTGACGGATCATTTATAAAAACAGCCGGAGGTATTTCATGATCAAAAATTAGCAACATATAAAAAAATGTAATAACAATATTACTCACCTACCGACCTACCTGTTTAACGACCAGCCCTCCGACCAGTCGGTATTATACGTGCAGGCGAACTTTGGTCGTGGAAACAGCGGCGTTTCTATTCTGTTCCGTTTGTAATTATCTCTGATTTATTTGGGTCGGCGAAGGAAGGTTGCATACTGTTTGCAGTAATTCACCTTTAAATGATATTGCCATAATAGTTTGCAGTGAATTTGTAAAGTAGCGACTGTAACAACAAACGCCTTAGAAAATATCTAATTTCACTGGACAGCAGTATCATAATGAGTATCCTAATTGCTACTTCTCACTGGAGGCAAAGGTTCCCTTAGCTTTATTTGGATAAATTATGGTCAGCTCACTATAAATTTTTGTTGCCTAACAAGATTATAGAGATTCATAATGAAATATTACAACTATCCCTGTAATTATTTTTTGGCTAAATATACGGACGTTTCACCCTCCTGCTCTTTTTGTGTGTCGAATACAGAATCTATTTTACATCTTTTTCTGAATGTTCGTATTCACAGGCTTTCTGGCATGAGATTTCTATGCTTGTTTTAAGGGGTATGGTCAATTGATTGATAGAAAAAATCATATGGTCCTTTTTATGGCGTCTAATTTCGGGGACTGACTTATTGACGATATAATTAAGGTCTTGTGTTTATTGGGCATGTTTCATATTTTTAAAACTCGAGCTCTTTCCAGAACCCCCAACTTTATCCTATTTTCCCAGGAGATAATATTTTTTGATAATATATTTTGAAATTTAAATTGGAAGGCTATAAGAACATTGCAAATATTAGAAAAAAAATAGTATTGTGGGACGGAACCTCCAGTGGCGCGTAAAGCACGGAAGTTTTCCCGTGTCATATTTTTTTTTACATCTTCAAAAGCTGCTTGTGAGTTTTTACTTGTTTCATATCTTAGTTAATATGTACAAGTGACATTTTTTTATGCGCTGTTTTATTTCGGTAATGTGCAAAAGGACACATAACAGTGGATCATTGGACTGCAGTGATGCTAATATGCGATACATGCCTATATTTGTTAGAGTATCATTAATTTGTAATTCCGTTGATAACGTTAGCACTTATCAGCCAGCTTGTTGTAGCTTTGCTACAACATACGGTGAAAACACGTAGCGGGATTAACAGTACACCATGACAGTATACAGTACACTGCTGTATAAACATTTATAACTTTACTAAAACGTTATATATGGTGCAATTGTGACACAAAAACAATATAAAGATGGTTGACACAAATCCACCAGAAAGGGGTGGCTCCCCTGAGCAGTGTCGCGAGGAACACTGCACCTGTAACACCACTGGATTTAGCTGGCCAGTTCAATGGTGGATGAAGCTGCACCGACAGATGTAGTTGTACAGAGGTCACAGGTGGATGAAGATGCACCAACAGATGAAGGTGCACAGAGGGCACAAGTTGATGAAGATGCACCCATGGACAACACTGGAGAACAGCAGGAATACAGTGTTTGTAGCCATAGGCGTGCTGAAATTAACCGCTTGTTGGAGGAGAGCAAGCTACTGAAGGAAGAGTTCTCCCTAAATCAAATGCATGAGCATTTCTTGCAAGATGACAATATAAGGGTCAAACACTGCATGGGGCTGGACCACGTTTTGCTGTTCTGATGGGTCTGCTGATATAGCTTCTTCCATGCCTTCCACAGACAGGCCGAAAACTTTCACCCTTTCTGATGCTCTTTTAACTGTGATGCGCCTGAGGCTAAATCTGTCAATCAACACGTGTCCACCTCTTCTGTGTAGACAGAAAGGCTGTGTCCATCACATTCAGAGACACCATGCTATTGGTGTAAGGTTTACACACCACAGAGAGGCACTGCTTATAAGGCAGTTTGCGGAGGCATTTGGCAGTTGTTCTGTGGTTATCGTAGACTGCTTTGAAATTAAGATTGAAAGACCATCTGAAAGCCTATGGGGGAAATGTGCTGCATTGTGTGCGATTAGACACTTCTGATAATGTGGATATTTTTAGATTCAATTAAATTAGTTTCATTGATGCAAGAGGGTAATTCATAATGCCATGTATGTGTTAAAACTTTTGGTTTAGTTCTTTTCGTTCTATTCCGGCAGCTTTTTTTTGTTGTTTAAATTAGATAAAAGATAAAAGGCCTTGTTTGAAAATTGAAATGATTAAATATCTGACATGAAATCTTTATTGTAATGTCACTCCAAACATTCTTATTCCCTTAGTGATGTAGAACAGGATGCCAGCTGTAAACAACCTGTGAGACTTTGGATATGTGAGGAGGTGGAGGTGACTTGGTGAGACGTACTACTGTTCAGAAGGATGGAAATGTGGAACCAAAGAGTCCTTACAGACTAAACCCACTACTGGGGCTCCCTTCTGCATTCAAAGCTGTCATGTGGTAATTTGCAATAGTTTTAACAAGCACCAGCTTTGACATGACCCATCCCCTCCCCCCCCCCCCCCCCAGCTAGTTCAACCCCGTAACACAACAGACGGTGAGAGGTTTGAGTAGCACAAATGCCTAAGTGTAGGGCTCATGGAAGTGAACTTCATCTCTGAGGGCAGAGCGAACAATATTTGGTTCAGAGAGAGAACCAATCAGATTGTAGAAGAGGTGGGTCACACAACCACATGTTCTCTCTGAACCAATAATTTTTCACTCTGCCCTTAGCGATGAAGTTCAAATGGATGAGCAACCTGATGGAAGAGGAAATTCGAGTGCAGGTCCGGTTTAAGCTGCAATCATATATATAATTTTCTAGATTTCACACTATGGACCACAGTCGCCTTCTAGGAACTGTAGACCAACAGGGACGGAGTATATCATTTTCTATACGTCAAACACCTGCTCCATTTACCTGCTGAGGAAATGGGCTAAAACACATGCAAGAACAGGCCCTAATGTACCATGATATTTAAAAAAAAAAAAGAATCACACAGCATTAGACTAAATCAGACCAAAATTCACAGTATCGCCAGGTTACAAAACAGAAATTTAAAATATTTTATTCACTCTCCCAACAATCTTCATCAGTAAAAGAAAAAAAATGATCATATATATTATATAGATCAAACATTATGAAACGTGCTTCGCTTTCCTTGGTTTGAACTTCTTTTTAAGTCCTTTCTTCTGTTTTTGCTGGCTGCTTGCAGGCACGGCCATTTCCCCCCTGAAAGAATTCCCTCGTCTAGGTTTCCCTGGATTCTTCCGGAATGGGGCTGTCGACTTGCTTCCGGGTCCCTGGCCCGGTCTCCCCTTAAAGGCCGGGTTCTGCTGGCCCCTTCCAGTCTTGCCGGCCCCTGGATTTGATCCAGCGCCCAGGGCCTGTTTCTTTACCTTCTCCTTCTTTACAGAACGTTTGACGCGGATCTTCCTGCCCTGAAGCTCAGAGCCGTCCAGCTTCAGGGCCAACAGTACTGCATCGGCGCTCTGGAGAAGGAAGGTGCCAAACAGCGTGTCACGTTCGGCCTCTCACACACACACACACACACACACACACACACACGGCGCATCACGTTCGGCCTCTAACACACACACACACAGTGCGTCACGTTCGGCCTCACACACACACACACAGCCACCTGAGTTCAGTCAGCCAGCTGGGCTATGCCAGTTTGCTAAACAAGCAAATCCTATTCTGATCTATGATAGCTCTTTAATTCTGTTATTTATCACACTGATTACACTGGTCAACATAGATTTCATCACAGAAAAACTAAGCGGTGACGTCATTTTTAGTACTATACTAATAGTATATAGTTCTTTATAAAGAATGTAAGTGCTGACCAAATGAAGCTTTATGAACCATTTAATGTATTTTTTGACCCCACTAGATGGTGCTCTTGGGTTACTGTGGGTCATGCTTTGAGCCCTTTTATGAACAAAGAGCACCATCTAGTGGGGTCAGAAAATACAACGAACGGATCATGAAGCTTCATTTGGGCATCACTAATGTGTGGGTATATTAAATTTTAATTTAGGAAAAATTATTTTATTTCTATTTGTGAACATTAAGACTTTACAGAGGGGCTCTATGCAGTCTAAGTCTGGTTTGCCAGAGTTTACATGATGTAACACGTTTGAGCATTTTAATATAGTACAACTAACCCAACAAACATCATAGCCTAACCTACCTTAAACATGCTTTGAACACTTACATTGGCCTACAGTTGGGCAAAATCATTAACACAAAGCCTATTGTATAAAAAAGTGTTAAGTATCTCATGTAATTTATTGAATAATCATATCCATCATAAAGTCAAAATATCATAAAGCAAACCATCATAACCCAGGGAGCGTCTGTACTTCTACCTTTTAGATGAGTTACTTCCAGCATGCACATATACTGTAAATATATGGTAGCACAAAGTTTATTTGCGTGTCACTCAAAATCCTTGCATGATAGGGAAATTTTGAAGATGTTTGAAATTAGCACAAAAATATACTGTAAGATTCACCTATTTTGATTCATGTAACAAAAAGAAAGTCAAAATTTGTTGACCAGAATTACTAATGATACAAAAAAAATTAAAACTTATAGACTCAGACTCCTAGCTACACTATAAAATCACCTTCATTCCCCGTAATCCGTCTCAGACTCACATGCACAACTCCAGCAAGTCGTCCAATAATGTGGATAATTATGCTAATTGGTGAACAGTCTGGTTCAGAGAGAGATGCAGAGGCGCTTCCCTCAGCGGACAGCCGGCGCTCCCACCTCGAAGAGGACGTAGCCAAAGCCCTTT